TTGAGGGGCTTTTGAACAGCCGCATCGTTGCCTTCGTCGACGCGGAGCACTTGCACCCCTCTCGTTATTGTGTCCGTTCCAGCTTGACGCAAGGCTTGCCTGCACTTTGCCCACACCAACCTACTGTCTCGTTCCACGTGTGCAACTGCCGCGGACGCGTCCTCGAGTCCTGTCGCTGCCGTCCACGCGGAGTCTCGGATCCGTTTCGCGTCGCAGGTGATAAGCGCATCCATTCCGGACGTTGATCCTCACCGACTCCTCCTCTGCCATGCCTCGAGGACACATTTCGATTCCCGCCGCCCTCGCGAAGCGATTGAGGTCCGCGCGATCCCCATCTGGGTGGGGATTGATGATGCGAGTATGTGTCGCCGCTGCTCCGCTGCTGCTCGACAACTGGAAGTTAAGATCGACCGCTGCATTGCCATCGTCGTCGCACAGCCCCTCATTCAGCAGTGAAGTGTACGACCACGGGGTCTCCGCCCGCCTGCCACCGTAGGACTGCGTCGCTGCCCAATCCTGCGTGGAACCACTTCCCAACGACACAATCGATGACCTGATGTCTTCCCCCTCGTCATCCGACGGCAACTGAGGAATCTCATGCGAAGGCAGGTGAGCATACAACGTCGGGTCGTACGCTTGCTTCGCCACAGACCCCGTAGTGCATTGCCGATTGCTCGTGGCGACTGTCGTGCCTGCCAGTCTGTCGTTGGTCAGTCGTCGATCCATCCTGTCGTCGTTCTTGGAAGATCTCCTTTTGCGAGCCGCGACAGGGAGCAGGCCGACGAAACACACGTGGAAGAAGACAACGATGAGAAGCAGCACGACGGCGAGGAGTACCAGAGGCAGCCTGTGCAGCAGGTCGCCGATGTAAGGGCCTTGGAAAGGGCAGCAGCTCCACATCAGTGGTCGACCGTCCAGCGAAGAACTCCGTCGACAGAAGAAAAAGCGAGGGAAGATCTGTGCTCCGACGTGCAAGGCGTGACGACAACCGACGAAAACGACGATCTTTCAAAATCCACCTGTTGTCGTCGAACATAGCGCCGGTGCGGAAAAGCATTCGAATTTCCGACTGTTGTCGATGATCTCCCAGGGCGGCAGAACGCATGACACCGGCTGGCGACGGCCGGTTCGTCGGACGGAGGCCTCACGCGGATGGTGACCGTTTGGAGCTGTTGGGGTGCCGCCAAGACAGTGGAGGGCAGGAATGTCCGTGCTCCCGTTCGGTGGACCACGTCTGGACCATCCTCAAACCGAAACTGTGCGTAGACGCATGCCTTCGCCGCTCCGAATTTTGTGCTTCCTTGTGTTCCCTTGGGGATTAGGAAAAATTGGCTGTAGCCACAAGGACGCCACAAGGAAATTTCCGTGTGCTGTTTTCACATTTATTTTCGTGAATCGTCCCCCAAGGACAGGTGGAACCAGCACTTCCTTGTGGATTTCGGGTCCACAAGGAGTGTCTAAAGAGGCCCTCAATACGTTTTTTTTTTTTTTGTTTCTTTTCTTAGTAAGCCCTGCCAACGAGTCAGGGCAGTCCGTTCTGGATTTCGTGCTTGGGCGTAGTAAACAGCAGAATGCTTGGTTACTGTATTTCTGGGAAGATGCAGTAGAATAGAAGAGAAAAAAAAAAAAAAAAAGCCTAAACGGCCCAGACACATATCTCCCACCCCCAGTTTGCAACGGGTAAAAACTCTTATTCCTCAAAAGGGAAACAATGGACGGCGCCCTATACTAAACTATTGCAACGACCTTGACAAGATAACCTTGTCGTCCTTGACAAGATAACCCACCCTACGACCGGTCTTAGGGACGACTGCGACCGGACCCTATTTTCTGCTGTCGGAGTCCCCAAACGAACCCCTCCTAGCGAAGCTGAACCCACACACGCGCACCAGGTGAGTGGTCCCTCGTGCACCGATTGGGACGTGTCGGCCGAGGATCTTGGACACGCTTCGAAGTGGGACATTGGCACCTCTCCCCGGTAGGCAGGGACAGAGGAGGAGGGCCCAAAAAGTTAAAAAACGACCAGGCGGTAAATGACAACAACAAGCTATGCTTTTGTCCGCCCACACGGCCTCGCTGACTGTGGCGGGCGGACGGAGCAGCGGAACCGGAAAACCCAACCAACCCTTGCAACTTGCAACTTGCAACTGGCAATTGCCCTTCGAAGGGAGAGAGAGAAAGGAGGTGGTCCAGAGCGGGAGGAAAAGAGGACGAGAGAAAGAGAGGGGGGGAGGAGGAGGGACCAAGGGGTCCACGGAAAGAGCTTGCTCGCTCGTTCGCTCGCTCGCTCGCTCGGTGGTTGGCTAGTGATTGACGATGTATTGTGTTGCACCGCGGGAGCAATTAAAGGTGACGTGCCAGAACGGCTAATACTTTACGGTTTTCTTTTTATTGTTTTTTGAAAAGCTGTCTTCTCCTCATCGGGGGACAGCTACATAGTATGTTTTCTCTCACCTCACATAGTTTGACGAGAGGTAGGAAAAAAAAAGCTATGCTTTGCAGGGGGGGGTCCCCTGTTTAGCCTTAAAGGTAGTAGTGGCAGGTAGGTCGTGAAAGGGAAAAAGATATGTTCCATGACATGGCAGAACGGCTAATACTAATTGATGTATGTGTTCAATTACCGCAAATTACTGTTTCTTAATACTAACTCCAAGTTTGGTTCATAAAGAGACAGACTGTTCCGTCGGACTATCATCCGCTCATGCTTTTTTTTTTTTTTTTTTTTTTTTCCCCGCTCTAAGTTTGCATACGTATGTACTCGACACAAACAGGGGGCTTTGACGTACGGACTATAGTCATGTACGTACGTACCTATACACGTGTATATTAAAAAATTGCACGATGCTCAAATACATATACCTCTGTGTGTGTGTGTGTGTGTGTGTGTGTGTGTGAGAGAGAGAGAGAGAGAGAGAGAGAGAGAGAGAGAGAGAGAGAGAGAGA